ATAATTCTTGAATAGTCTATTTCCGTTGATGTTGTTATATACTAAATTTTATATTTATTACCGTATTTCCTCTATTAGAATGCCATGGCATTCTATTTTTCAATCACCTTCAAGGGTGGCATTCTATTAGAGGTACACCCCAAGGTACCACAAGGCCAAGGTACCGCCGAGCTATAATTTCTTCAAAATTGTCGAGTCCAGGACGCCCTCGTATGGTTCGATGCATCTCGACGAGCTGAATCGAACCATGCCAGGGCGTCCGGATTCGACAATTTCGAAGAAAGTTATAGCTCGGCGGTATCTTGGGCTCACGGTACCTTGGCCCTCCCTTCTATTAGAGGGTGTCATTCTAATAGAAGAAATACGGTAATTCCGATTTCTTTTTTAAACTATCTCAAAAAACCTAGATAACTCACGTCAACAAAAAGATCATGAAGCCTAATTGACTCAAGTCCAAACAAACAAATTTTCGTAAAGTTATTGGATTCATTTGTTAAAATATTTAATAAAATATCCATATATTGCTCTGGAATGCCATTTTCTTTAAAATCTATACAAAGACATTCAGAAATTGCCAAATGATTAAAAGAGAATTTAAAAATATTTTCAATTGTGTAATTGTTAACAGAAAGAGACAATTTGTGAATTTTGAATTGAAGAAGAGTTGTTTTGTCGTTGTCAAATAATAAATTAAGCATTTTTGGATTAAATATACTTTTATCGAAATAGAAACACTCAAAAGCACAATTAAATAAATGTTCTAACCAGCACCGAACAATAATCATTTGTTTTATGCTTTTTGGAATGTTTGGTAGTTTTAAAATATAGAAGCCTTTTTTGATAAATAAATCTATAAATGATTTAAAAATAAGATTTTATTTATAAAAGTAGAAATATATTCAAGTTTAAAATTTGGAGAAAAAAATACCAGGAGGTCAACTCCCAATTGGTCAACTCCAACGGAGGTCAACTCCAAATATGTATTTTGTCTTATAAAGGCAATGGGGAGCACTTTACGTTGGCATGGTCCCTATTGCCTTATCTGACAGTGGCAGTAGAGAATTCCTGTCTTCTGTCCCCTTATCCACTCAAATCCCTCGAATACCAATAGGGAGTTGACATTCTGGGTTGTTCCCATATATTTAACTAGAGATAACCGAACAAAAATTTTCTATATTATCCTGTACCTGTTTTCTCAAGACGCATAAGAATATTTGTGCCAAATTTAAAACTATTTAAAAATAACGGTAATGATTCAGCTATCGCTGATTGCCACTTAAAAAAACAAATATAGACTTGAGCAAATAAAAATTAATTTTACTTTCTTTTTAAGTCGACCATTTAAAATAATTTCAAAAATTCCAGATTCAGGCTTAATTATTTTATGTTCTAAACGTCTAGGATAACGAGAGAGAATATCATACTAAAATTAATTTAAATTAAAATAAATAAAAATATTCACCAATTGAAGTTCATCAAATTTCATTCTCGCCAATCCCTTCTCATATTTATTAATAAAATCATTGAAATAAAAATTTGTTTGTTTAAAAGAGAATATTTGATTGAAATTAAGACACTTCAAGACATCAAATTGAAGTTCGGTTGGTAGAAAATTCATTTTTAATTTTAATTATCTAAAAAATAAAATACACATGAAACCTATTTAAAATTAGAGAACTTGAAAAAATTCTGTCATAAATACAGAAAATCAGCCCGTCAAACGATATGTCAATTGAAATATCTCACCGAGATACACTAAAATTAAGCTCGGGACTTAATTTGAGACAGCTGATTTTTGGGGTGAAAAATTCGATAATGTGAATTATAGCTCATTCGAAAGAACTCGACAAAAATAATGATAGCTCCAAAAATCAGCTGGGTCTCTATTAGAGTTTCACCGGAAGTTCCAGTTCCGGTTCCGGTTCCGGAAAGTTCCGGTGTTTTTTGGTTCCGGTTCCGGTTCCGGGAACCGGAACTTAAATTGGTTCCGGTTCCGGTTCCGGCTCCGGTTTTTAAATCGGTTCCGGGCAAACCGGAACTTTTTTACACCCCTAAAGATTGATTTTTTTAGAAAAATTAATAAACTACTCGTACTCTCATGCTTGTGTATTAAAAAAAATCGAAAGAAATATGTTTATTTTCTGTCAATTGACCTAATATAAACGGGTGGCCGAGTGGTTAAGGTGTTAGACTTCACCCTTGGCGTGAATGATTTAAAGATGGGTTCGCTTCCGAGGCATAGGACAATTAATTTGCATGTTTTTCTTTCCTTAAAAACTTATTTTATAAGTTTATAATTTTGTTTTTAAAATTATTTTATTTTTACATGGAGTAATTGTGGTTTTTTGGCCCTCTAAATTTCTTAAAATTTTTAGTTTGACTTATAAATAGTGAATTTTTTTGCTTATGGCCTTCATAAATTTTCAAAAATTTCGCCTGCGGCGCTGAAAAGGGAAGAAATTTGGCTTCTTGTCCTCACAGATTCTCAAAATTTTTCGCCTGCGGCGCTTAAAAAGAAGTTGAATGTTATATCGGAGGATTTGGATGGATTAATTTGGATTTTGATTATATCATGATTTCAAACGATCATAGGTAATATCGTGGATTTGGGTGTGATATCGAGAAATTGAGTAGGTAGATATGGGATTTTCTTGCAATTCAGAACCTTTTTATCGCCCGATATCAAACAGTTATATCCGATAAATCCGTTTATACACTACTCTCTAATCCACATATATCACTTAACGACGACAAATTTTCGGCTCGGTTAACCAAGCTTCTATTCGGTTAGACGGTTAGGTTTCGGTAAACCGAAAAATTCGGCGAAACCTACAACCCAAATCAAAATGAAAATTTTTTAAAATTTGCTAGCAAAAAAATTTTTTCAAAGTTCCGGTTCCGGTTCCGGTTCCGGGCCGGAACTTAGAAAAGTTCCGGTTCCGGTTCCGGGAACCGGAACTTAAATTGGATCCGGTTCCGGTTCCGGTCAAAATTTCGGTTCCGGTGAAACACTAGTCTCTATAGTTTTTCGATATTCGGAGGCGTATCTCTCGAACTATAGTTGAGTTCCAAGCCTAATTTTAATGCCATTCGATCTAGCTCGCAACTCTTTCAAATGACATATTGAACGACTGTGTCTGTATCGAATTGCAATATGTCCGGTACTAACAGAAATACTAGAGACTAGCAAGACGTAGTTTATCACAAAGGTAACAATACAATAGAATAAGCGATACTGTGATTGAGTAGAATACAGACTACGACTATAGAATTAGACTGACTGAAATACTAAAAGGCTGCGCCTTTTATATAGCCTACGCCACCCTAACACTTTGAAATCGTTTTCCGGCATTTATAACGGAATTTTACCTTTTAAAAATGTATGAAGAGTTTAAAAATGTGTTAGTAATTTTATATGTAATTATCAACTTTTGCCAATTTTTGACAAAAACTAAACTTACAAAAAAGAATTATAAAATCTAGTACATACACTAGGGATGGAAAAAATTAAGAATATTCCTTTTAGAAAACTTTTTTGGTTGTATTTTTAAGATTTATAATTACTGATGTTTAAATTGAAGAAATTAGCAAAGGATATTAGCGGATTTGGAAGGATATCCGCTTTTGGATATATCAGCGGGTATCCGGATATTATCCGTATCCATGGCCAAGTCTGATTTATTTAATAAAATTAAGAATGAACTTTCCGAATCCCGCCATTAAAACTTAAAAAAAGAAAAAGGGCAAGGGTAACTCTTGAATTTTTTAATCAAAAGTAGTAAAGTAGTAAAAAATGAATAGTAAAAATTTTTTAAAGATTAGTCAAATCCTTCTTAGATTCGAATAAACAAGAGGGAAAAAGTCTTAATTTTTCTCATTAATTCACCAACACAAACTTTGACTACAAATTTATTTCTAAAAAATATTTAAACTAACAAAATACTAAATATTTTTCTTTCACAATTTAAATATGCATAAAAAAGGGGGGTAAGCCAAAATACTGAAAAACAGGACGAAAAACTAAAAAATATAACAAAATAAAACTTAACAAAATCAGAACTAAATTTATTTTTGAAGAGGGGATGAGGAAAGGGCCAAAAAATGGGATGGCCCGATTGGAAAGAATGGGAAGAAAAAAAGTTCTTTTGAGCGGGCAAAATATTTTTAAAGAGGTTGGAAAGTTGTTTATTTATCAGCCAAAGATTATCCAAATCTTGGTGATTTGACAGATCTACATATTTCTTGCTCAAAAACATTAAAAAAGGCCAAAATTTAGAAGACAAGTGACTAGGACAGTAAAAATCACAGAAAGTTTAGTTAATGCTGAATATATCCTTTTGTTGAAGAAGAAGATCCCTAGAAAATTAAAAATATAAAAAATTTTTTGTTAATTTTTTTACATCATTGTTAGAAATGCATTTCTTTAATTCATCCAAATCGACATTTTCAATAACACAAATATACATTTTTCTAAAAAAAAAGTAAAAGGAATAAATCTTTCTTAAATATTAAAAATTAGAAAATTTTTTAATTCATTGTTTTCTATATTAGTCCAGACGAATTTTGGAGGTCCGGACAGCGGCAAAATGATTTTCCTTATAATACGATATTAATGCCGGCCACCCCCTCAATAAGACGCTCGCTCTCTTTCCACTCCCTCTTCATGTTAGTCTACAGCTTCATGAATTAGAACCTATGCCAAGTAACCAATTTAGTTATGAATTTAAAAAAACCTATCAATATATAAATTATCATTTCCATTCATAACTCTATTAAAACGAATATATAAATTAAAAAGTCTATCTTCTGTTGCAAATCGTTTTGCCAAATAATTCATTTCATTTGCATCAAAAGTTTTAAGCCCGTAAACTTTTTTCATTGAATATTCCAAAACTGTCTTTACTTGATTAGGACCTTTTTGGTTTAATTCATCCAAATTAACATAGAAAGTTCTTTTTTTTTTAAATTTAATTTTAAATTTAAAAAATTTCAAAAAAAACCTACCTAATATCTTTAATATTAAAATTATTCCTGTCATAGTCAAAAACACGAAAAGCTGGATTATTTAAATTAAACAAAGGTGTTATAGCTGGATTTAAAAACATTCGTTGTACTGGTTTCCCATTTGAATCCTTTTTAAAAATTAATTTTTTTTAGGTTTTTTAAATTCAAAAATAATAAATAGAATCACTTTTTTGTTAAAAATTATCTTCTCAGAAAAATTATAAAACTGACAAAAAATACAAATTATACATAAATAGATCAGCTTTTGCTGTGAAGTTTGAGAAATTATACTAAGATGAAATATTAAGAGAATTTTCAAAAAGAAGCCCAGAGCTCTAGACTATCCGGCATATAAAATAATTATAATAATTATTTTAGATAAAAAATAAAAACCTTCAAAATTCTAAAAGTATCAGTATGTAAATGTCCAAACAACATAAACCCAATAGAATTTGCATATTCTGTAAACAAGTCAATTAACCGTTTATTGTATCGAGTTTCCATTTCGTCTCTACATTCTGGCATGCCAGTGTTATAGTGATGGTCGGGATTCCCGGTCTCGGTTCCCGAGTCGGGAAATTTCCCGGGTTTTTTGAGCTCTCGGTCTCGGTCTCGGTCTCGGTGTTTTAGTCTCGGAAAACGAGACTAAATTTACACCCCTAATGACGGACTTTTTTGAATTTTACTCGTACCTCGCGTACTTTGACATTAAATTTTTTAAAGAAAAGTGAAAGAAATATTTATATTTTCTCCATTTTTTTTTGTTGTTTTTTGGTTGAGTGGTTAGTGTGACTGACTTCAATCAAAAAAATTTTCGAAAATTTTCGCAAGAGGCGCCTAAATCGCCTAAAAATTTTTCCAAAATTTTCGCAAGAGGCGCCTAAATCCTCACTTGCGGCGCAGAAAATGGGAGAAATCTGGCTTCACGAGCTCCAAAATTCTCAAAATTTTCGCCTGCGGCACAGAAAATGAATGAAATTGGAGGATTTATGGCTTAAAACCTTAAAAAATACAAGAATTCAAGGAATTTGGGAGATTATGAAGGATATATAGTGGTATAGTATTTTGAAGAATATATAGGGTATATCAAGTGATATCCCTCCTAATCTCTTGGTCTCGACTCTCGGTCTCGACCCGGGACTCGGTCTCGGGGTTGATTCCCGGTCTCGGTCTCGGTTCCCGACTCTCGACTTTTTTTAACTCCCGACCATCACTACAGTGTTATAAACAAACCCTTCAAGAAATATTTAATCTGATTAGAATACGGCATTAATTCCGTCCCCTCCCCAAATAAGTGACTCTCCCTTTCCACTCTCTTCTTGTGAGTCAACAGCTTCAGCAATTAGAAAATATGCCAACGTTGAGTGTAATACCACTGCTTCCAATTGCAATAGGTTCAACAGGAATTATGGCACACACACCCTTTACCAAACTATGTGTTCTAAAAATCAGAGGGGGGAATGGCACCAGTAACCATAAATACTACCCCCTGGCGGAACGTGTCCAACAATATTTATTTTTCCATTTTTTGATTTAATTTCAGCCAAATGTCTTTCAATAAATTTAAATTGGCCAGTTGGGTCTTCTGGATTTGTAAAATCTTTAATTGCACTGTTCATTATGTAATAAATATTTGTGTTTAAAACTAAATATTCGGAACCATCTAATGGAGATTTAAAATAATAATATCCACCACGCAAAAAAGTTTCCTTAAAAATTATTAAAGTTTTCCATTATTAAAGTTTTCCGGTAACGCAAATGTCCGTCGACATTTGCGTTACGATTAACGCGCCGATCTGATCTAAATAATTAATATAAAGACAATCAACTACAGAGATATAAAGACAATCAACTACAGAGATATAAAGACAATCAACTACGATTTTTCAAAATTTTAAAATACGCCAGAAAATTTTAAACAAGCAAACTTTTTGTATATTTTTTATTTGGATCTTTATTCCCGAAAAATATGTTTAAGAATACAAGTCTACTATATTAGTTAAAAAATATTTTTTGTCAAAGGGGAAGTAATATGCTTAATATGATTGTCACGAGAGTATTCTTCTATTATTACATTTTTAGTTATTAATGAATAAAATTTAATTATTGCCAAACTTTTTATTCATTTTTTAGTAAAGTTTAAATTAATACCCCAGGTTCATCGCCAATCCATCCCTCCCAAAGATAATAAATATCTCGATACATCCCTAATTGTTCTGCATCATCAGGAAATGAAATAGCGCCTTCCATATCATAATTACCCAAAACAGGGATGACCAAAACATCAGGAAATCGTTGTTTTATAGAATCGGTAACAGTCATCATTGTATTAATAAATTCTAATAAAAGAATATTTTACGTAATTTAGTCATAAAAACCTTCTCGTGTATATTTTCTATGAGCCGCGGTGTCGCCAGTCCATATAATAAAATCAGGTTTTGGAAAATGTCTCTTTGCTTCATCCAACATATAATCAACTAATGCCTGGAATTTTAATAACATTTACTATTTTATCTACATAAAATCTAATAATGCCTCGGATTAGACCTGCACGGATCAGACCTCGGACCGGATTTCCATGAGGCCAGATTAATTTCGTCAAAAATAACGCAATGCAAGGTCTTGCGATCTTTTGCGGATCCGTTCTTGGGATAGGTGTCGGGGATCTGAGTTATTTGAAAATAACGAGGTAGCAGGAATTTCCCGATAAAATGGTCAAAAATTTCATGATAAGGGAAACGCCTTGCTTGTAGTTGAATAATTAATATGTAAGGCCATCTTATTCGCGGTCCGTTTTTAATATAAAATATAAACCGGAGGAGAGTCACATTTTCGATCACCAAAGGTACCAATCTCAGCCGTTTTTGGTGTTTGACTTGTGTTTGGTCCCAATCGAACCCTCTTTTTGGTTTTCGATTTTTGTTTAATTCCAAGCTCAGCATCTTTTGCTGGTTGATTTCCAGTATTTTCATCTAAATGACACCATTTCTCTACATTTCCGTTTTTGTTATATTTATCCTCCATGTGGATATCAGTTATAACAAGAAATTTTCCATTTCGTTGAGAATTAGAAACAGTAAAATAAAATAATAAAATTGGGAGAAGAAAATAATGAAGGAGCATGAAGGAACCAGAAGACGAAGTATCCTTTAAAGTTCAAAAATCTTAAATAAAAAAACCTAATTTTAACAGAATCTATTTAATACAATTTTGTAAATATTATATATTATCCGATTTCCGGAAAAAAATTTTGATTTCCGAGTTCCGACTTTTGAGCCAGTTCCGATTTCCGACACCTCTGACTATTCCGACCCACCTCTGACATATATCTCCTACCTTATATTCTCTAATTAATGAGGATTTAATTAATTAAACTCTAGCTAATCTAGCAATTTAATGTAAAAGAGTTTAAAATAAGGAGGTTAATTAGAGAATGGCAAAAGGCTCTGTAAGCGATAAAGGGAGGGAAGATGTCACCATGTTAATTTGCTTTCCTTCGATTTTATTTTTTTGCATTATCATTCGATTTTCCTCTAGTTTATTATAATTTATAAATTTTTGTATTTTGTTATACTTTTATATACATAATTCCCGAAAATTAAATTAGGAAAGCATGTTAATAAATTACAATTAAAATTTTCGAAGATAGAGTTGCCGTTTTTGGAAAATTTTAGGATAATAGAAATTGAATCGAAAATCTTTGAAAGAAGGGTTTTTAAGGGATTATGATAATTTAAATATGGTAATAGTTTTTCAAATAAAATAGGTAAAATAAGGCTCTAGTTTAGGACATGCGCCCCATGAGCTTTTATGCGTCCCAAAAATAGAATAAGCATCCCATCAAAGTAAAAGCGTCCCAAAATAGTATAGGCGCCCCATAAGAATATATACGCCCAAAAATACTTTTTATATTTTATAAATACACAATTAAACGCATTATTACAAAACGTATTATTATGTTTCCTTGCTAGAAACAACAAGCAGTAAACTAAATTTTATTTTGATTGAGTGACTTCAATCACTTTGAGATTTTATGGGGATGGGTTTGAATCCAGGATGGGGGAATGTGAGTTGAATAATTTTTCCTTCCAAAAAATGTTTTTAACTTTGATTTTGAAATTGTAAATTTATTTTATAATACTAGTAAAATTAAAACTAGAAAAATAATTTAGTTTGGCCATTTAGGATTCCAAAATTTGAAGAATATCTGGCTTCGTAGCCTTCAAACTTAAAAATTTTTTCCTGTGGCGCTGAAGTTTTTTAAATCCGATTAGTTAAAAACAAGAAAATATAATTATTTAAAAAATAAAAATCCCGAAGAACGTTTTTCTTTTAAAAATTTAATTGTAAAATATTTAAATACAAAAAAGGATGTAAATTATTATTTAATATCTAAAATATGCTCAGATATGTATTTTCCAGAAATAAAAATTACTCAAAATAACATACCGTATTTTCTCGATTAATTCCCCTGGGGAATTATTTTTTCAACCCTTCCTTGGCAGTGGTAATTAATCGAGAGAGGGGAATTAATCGAGAAAATACGGTATATTCGAAGACTTAATTAATTAACGTATTTCCTCTAAAAGAATTTCTCCTCTAATAGAATCCCCCCCCCCCCATTTTTATTAATGAAAATACATACATTTAAATAAAGAATTTATAAATAATAACATTTAATAATTTTAGTTAAAAATAAAATTAATTAATTAAAAATAGCTAGCCAGAGAAAACATTTAAGAAAGAATATTTTTACCAAGAAAGAATATTTAAATCAATGCTATTATTTAAATCATGTGTCAAATAAATTAAAAATGCCTAGCCGCCATATCGAAATTTCGATATTAGATTTCCCTGTTTTTTTTCTTTTGATTTGCAATTTCAAAATTTTGAAAACTTTGAATTTTGCGCTAGTAAACAAGGTAAAAATTTTAACTTTAGTACTGTAGTTATAAAAAACAGTCAGAAATTTTTAATTTCCTATCACTAATTTTTTTCAATTTCTTTCAATTTAATTTCAAAATCCTTATCATCATCTTCTTCAATCATTTTAATAAACTCTTCTTCTTCAATCTCAATTTTATGTGTTAATTTACATAATTTAATATCTTCCAAATAATTAATTTCAATATTTATATATCTTTTTCTTTGATTTTTTTGTATTTTTATTTTTTTAAATTTGTTTGGCAGATTCTTTTGAATATAGAATTTATTCGAATTATAATCAAGAAAATAATTTTCGAGCGTTCTAATTTTATACTGTTGATTTGTTTTACATTTTGCTATTCTTTTTAACTCTACTCCAATCAAAATTAATGGCTTTTCATTCAAATAAACATCAAACATTTTGACTGAAAATATTTATTAAAGTCGGATCTAAATTATAAATCCTATTGGGATTGGAAAAATTGCAGATCTTTATGTAAATCTAGCAGGGCAGAGGATGTGCTCTGGAATTTTGGGATTTGATTGTATAGTGAAAAGGAATCTTTTGGAGTGAAAATCTGGCATAATCTTGTATACCA